CTTCCATCTAGAAGGACAAGGGCAGCAGATATATGGGAACTCCACCAGCATCAAGTTACCCTCCAAGTCATTCACCATCTTGACTTGGAAATATATCACTGTTCCTTCACTGTTGCTTGGCCAAAATCCTGGAATTCCCTCCCTAATGGTATTGTGGGTCAATCCATTGAAGGTGGGCTGACGCAGTTCAAGAATGTAGCTCAACACCACCATCTCAATGCAATTAGGGTTTGGCAATAAATACTGGCCAGCCAGCGATGCCACAAAAAATTGAATAAATAAAAAGTAAACTTTCAGAAAAAAATGCCACAAGTATCTGACTGAGGCTTTTAACTTAAATCACATGCTTTTTGGAAACGATGTCTTTAGTTCACTGTTCCAAATGGCTTTTTGCCTTCATTAAGAAGAACTGTCACTTCCACAGAGTTGAAAGCAAAATTTATTTTACATTTGCTTTAACATCCAAATTCCCAAATTATAGTAATATATGTATATCTTTATCACACCATACTGCATTTCTCTGAGGACCATAATGTGTGGTATTGTATTATTCATAGGACTTCTGGTGTAGTCTGATTAGGGCTTTACGTAGCTGATGCATAACTTCTTTCCCCTTGTATTCTAGTCCTCAGGCTAAAAAGGCCAGCATCCCGCTCCCCATTGGGTTCTCTACCCATTCATAATTATTTAATGATTTATACCTGGGCCACAAGTTGATTTGGATTTCCAATGTCTTTAGCTTTTTACCATTTAGGAAATGCCCTTTCTTTGCATTTTAGGCCCAAAAGAGATTGTTGATTACTTGTTTACATTGAATCGGGACAGAGGAGATTGCCAGAAGAGGATCATGAGACATGTAATCAGCATCTCCAAGAGGGGCAGGCAAGAAAAAGACCCTAAAGGAAGACAATCAGAGACAAAGCTAGATTCATTAGAGCTGAGTTCTGAGGAAGGGTCACTGGACCCGAAACATTAACCCTGTTTTCTCCTCCACAGATGCTGCCAGACCTGCTGAGCTTTTCCAGCAACTTTGTTTTTGTTCCTGATTTACAGCATCCGCAGTTCTTTTGGTTTTTATTAAGGGTAGCGGAGATGGAGAATAAATTCCAGTTGGGCTCACATCCAGAGAATAGGAATTGAAAAAGTTGTATAACTGCAGGTTCTAGCATTCGACTGGCCGTGGAAAGAGTTTTTCACATCAAAAGGCTATCTTTATCTATTTAGATGGACAAAAGTTGTTAAAAATGTATTTATGATTTTTAGAAAAAAATCAGAATTAATTTCAGCTTTCTGCTGTGATCTGTGACTGGGAATTTAAATCTCCAAATGATATGGTGGGAACAGAGAAAGCACTCTCGTAGTCTATTCTAATCTAACTGGTGGCCAGCTCCATTCCTTGACTTGGGAGTTCAGAATTCAAATAAGACTGTTTAAATGGATTCAGTGCTATAATCGAAAGTAGAAAGCCTTTCTTCTCTACAGATCCCACTTTGTGGTTTTCAATTGGAAGCAAGCTGTGATTCAAAAATTTGTTTTGAGCCCTGAATATGTGCCAATTTGCCATCATATAAAACCCAGCAGAGATCTCAACCTTATGGCGTAAATATGCAGCAGATAGCCAGATCCCATTGTATAAAATCCCAACAGCTGCACACCATTGCATTTATGTCCAGTTGTTAGCATTTCTAATCATAGCCATAGAGTTTATTGCTTCAGTCTCACTTGCAATATTCCTTGAGTAAACAAACAGTACCCTGTCCTTCACCTTGTTCCACTGCTGGGGCAATTCGTAAGATCATTGCAAAGGTCAAAATCAGAACATTGATTGTAATGGATCTAGTGGGTGAATCAATAGAAGAACTACCCTTTTGTCAGTATTCCCAGATGTTCACCCCGTACACAGACCTTTGACGACTAGGAAATGGTTTCAGCTAAAAGTTTTTAATCAGGAATAGACGACTGAGCTGAGTGAGTCACAGCAAGGGTCACACTAAGTCAAACCACTGGAGGTGGGAGCTGTCAAGGCAGGGACCACGCAGGCTGGTTAATCACCTGGCAAAGAATTGGGCAGTGCTATTTTGTACACATATCATTCTGACCAGACCCCCTTGTGGAGTTCCCCAATTCATTAGGGTTCCAGGTATGATTTCCCCAAAGTGTCAAGCTTCCGGGTGAGGAGAAATAAATTGGCTCCCTTGTTTTAATCCTTTATCCCTTTGTTGGTTGCATCAAGGTTAGTTTTAAAATAATCCCTTCCCTTGTGGATAACCTGGTCCCAGACCGCATGAACTTACGTTTTAAGTGCCAATATGAATAAAAAAGGCTTTTTGTGAATTAACAAAACAAAAGCGAGTTTATTAATTAATATATGCTAGAAGAAATACCAATGTGACACACAATCACCTAAATTGGAAATAAAAGATAATAAAAGTAAAAAAAAAGTCTCTGAATTTTGTGCAAAAAGTGGATAGTTGAATGTTACAGCTGTTACAGTGGAGATTACCAATAGTGTTGATGTTGTTAATTGAACAGTCAATTTGCTGATCCTTGCTTTTTCAGATTGTTGAGATTCTATAATTCTGATTCCTTTGACCTGATTGAATTCCAGTGTTCATGGTTAGAGGGAGTCTTTTGTGCTGGAAGAACAGCACCTCATTTTCTGCTTGAGAATTCTGCAGCCTCCTGGACTCAGTATTCAACAATTTTAGGGCTTTAGTACCTTTTCCCATGTCCTTACCCCAACGCCTACATACCAGGCCTTGTCCCCACATAGACTGCTTTGACACACACATTATCAGCAACTAATAGTCCCCATTGGCAGCTGTTCATTCTCCCAGGCTGAGCTTTATCCAGTCCTTTGCCTCCCCAGCTGTTTTTCCCTCAATTTGAGCTCTAGTTCCACCTATTATTTACTCCTCCCCACTCCTGCACCCCATCTTCTACATAAATACCACTCTTTTCCTAGATACCATCAGTTCTGAAGCAGGGTCACTGCACCCGAAATGTTTGCTTTCTCTCCACAGATGCTGCAAGACCTGCTGAATTACAGAGATATGGAGTCTTACAGCACAGAAAAAGGCCCATAGGCCTCAATTATCCATGCTGACCAGGTTTCCTAAACCGAACTAGACCCATTTTACTGCATTTGGCCCATTTCCATCTAAATGTTTCCTATCCATGTACCTATCCAAATGTCTTTTAAATGTTGTAATTGTACCCACCTCTACCACTTCCTGTAGCAGCTTGTTCCACATATGCACCACCCTCTGTGTGAAAAAGTTGCCTGTCAGTTCCTTTTAAATCTTTCCGCTCTGACTTTAAACCTTTGCCCTCTAGCTTTGGACTCTCCTCCCCTGGGCAAGAGACCTTGGCTATTCACCCTATCCATGCCCCTCATGATTTTATAAACCTCTACGAGGTCACCCCTCAGCCTTCAATGCCCCAGTGGAAATAGCCTCTCCTTATAACTCAAACCTTCCAGTCTCAGTGACATCCTTGTAAGTCTTTTTTGCACCCTTTCCAGTTTAATAACATCCTTCCTATAGCTTTTCCAGCAATTTTTGTTTTTGTTCTGATTTCTAGCATCCACTGTTGTTTTGGTTTTTTTGTAGAGTCTTTTGTTGTTCTGTTTGTCATTTGTCTGGCTACTAGTTAGGTGCGTTCTAGTACTCAGAGGTGTCCTTGCCTGCAACATGGGGGTGTCTAGGGGCTAATTCTTTGACTGTGACCTTCCCAGCGATCTAACACTCAAACAAAGGCTGGGACATGTGAGAATGTTTAGTCATACCTGTCCACACCTGTAGAGTTGAAACTGGCTTTTAACCCCTGCCCTTATGTATTCCTCACGGAAAAACTATGTCTGCAGCTTTGGGAGATAATCCTGAGTGAGCAGCTTACTGTTGAGCAGGGGTCGCAACGCCTTGTTATACTTGCAGTCACAAGAGATCACAGTCCAGTCTGTTTGAAGTTCCTTTGTCATGTTTCAATGTTGCAGAACCTTTGCCGGCCAACTGCTGAATTTATACTTGCAGTTATTTTGTCTCTGTAAGCAGTCCTCTTTTAAAAAAGCATATTTTAAAATTAGAGGCTAAGAACGCCCATAGTATTTTGGGTTTTCGACCTGTCATCCTAACAATGTGTTCCATTTCTGTCAGTCATACTCAGAAGGAATTGTTTAAAAAGATGACCAGAGCAGAGAAGCTCCAAAAACCCTAGCCTCAGGATCAAAATCCTGGAGCTGACCTTTCATCTACAATTCTTTCAATTTCTACTTGTCCAAAGTGCAATTCCCAAATAGCGGTCAGTGTGTCCAAATGCTAGAGGACTGAATTTAGCAGGGATGATTAAACTTGTCTTGTCTTCTGCTGTTAAAACATGAATGGCTGGAATTAACTCCACCTTTCTTTCCTGTGTTTACCTTGCAGGATTCCACGCAGCTGAACCAATACACGCTGAAGACTGAGATTGGAAAGGTAACTATGTAGCAGCTAACTGTTCAAAATTAATCATAATCCAACAGAAAGTGTTGGAAATATAGCTCTCTTTGATCCATAACTTTCCAAATGGAGGTGGGTGTGGTGATGCTGGTATGGTGGTAATACCACTGGACTAGTAATCTAGAGGCCCAAATTAATGTTCAGGGAACATTGGTTCAAATCATACCACTGTATCTGGTGGAATTCGAATGAAATTAATAAGTCTAGAATTGAAAACAGTAGTAATGTTGACCATGACAATGATCATTGATTTTTGTTAAAAACCCATGCGATTCACTGATGTCCTTTAGGGTAGGGAAACTGCCATCCTCGCCCATTCTGGTCTACATGTGACTTTAGATCCACAGCAATATGGTTGCCTCTTAACTGTCCTTAGAAATAACTATTTCAATTAAGGGTTGGCATCAAAGTGTCGCCTTGCCAGCACCATCTACATACCATCTCAAATATGACGGATATTCATTGAATAAATGAGATTACCCATTTTTTTTGCATTCTGAATATGGTGTTGGGGACAATTGCAGAATGTTTTAAGAGTCAACCATGTACTGTGTGACTGGATTCACATGAAGACCACAAGAGTCTAAGGAAGCATAATGCTTTCCCTAAATGACGTTAGGAAAGTGGTTATGTTTTTTTGTGACCACGTGACAATTTTCATGGCCATTTTCTCTGGTGCCAGCCTACAAATGATCAGAGTTATTGAATCTATTAGACAATCTACTGGAATGGAACTTTAAGTCATTGCTAGATGCGAGTCCAATTGTAGACTCATAGATCGTACAATTATTACAGCACAGAAGGAGGCCTTTCAGTCCATTCAGTCCAGTGCCAAACACCTGAACTATCATAAAAATTGAAAGAACTGCGGAAGCTATAAGTCAGGAACAAAACCAGAAGTTGCTGGAAAATCTCTGCAAGTCTGGCAGCATCTGTGAAGAAAAAGTCAGAGTTAACGTCTCAAGTCCAGCGACCCTTTCTCAGAACTATCATTCCCACATCAGCATTTATGTGGAAAATGATTGTGAAGAATAAATTCGGCCCATATGCTCTGGTGTCTAAATTGCGTCTCATTGAAATATTTAGATTCTGAGGGGCCTTCATGAGGTAGATTGAGAGATTGTTTCTGCTGTTTGGGGAGTCCAAAACCCAGTTGTACAGTCTCAGAATAAGGGATGATCGTTTAGGACTGAAATGAGGACAAATTATTTTAATAAAGAAAATTGTATCTCTCTGTAATTCTACACCAGTTGAAAGTATTCCTTCATTAAATACACTTAAGCTGGGGTGGCCAGATGTTTGGTCACAGAGAATTGAGGGATATGGGGCGCAGGCAAGAAGTGAAGTTGGAATCTAAGGACAGCCATGACGACATTGAATGGCAGAACAAGCTTGACAGGCTGAATGGCTTTGTTCATATTTCTTGTGTTCTTGTGAAGAGCAGGGAAGGTGTTTGAAAATTCAGTGTGAAGTCTTGCCATGAACTTAATTCTGGAAAAATAACATTGTATGGACATCATTTGAGGTGGGGGGTGCCAAATTTACCCAGCACCGTGGATGGACTGTGCTGATAAGACTGCTTCTCAGGCAGAGAGAGGGACTGGGAATCTTGGTGTAAAAAGGTTATAGTCCAACTGGTTTATTTGAAAACACTGGCTTTAGGACTGTTGCTCCTTCCTCAAGACACAGATTTTATACAACTGATGCGAATGTATTGAATAAACCTAAAATGTATGGCTGACTCCCTCCTGCTAAATCTTTAATCAGTTAAAATTTCAGTAAATAATGGACCTCTGGATCTTCCGTCACTGAGTATACTGTGCTACCACACCTTCCTGAATCTCTCTTCTCTTCCAGTCACTAGATGAAGAAGTAATTTAGAGTAAAACATTCACTTGGACAAAAGTGAATTAATTAAGGAAAGGCAAATTCTATTTACCTAATTTTGATTAGTTTTTAAAAAATCTAACAGGTTCCTCAATATTGTTTTATAAAGACCATAAGATATATGAGCAGAATTAGGCCATTCAGCCCATTGAGTCTGTCTGCCATTTATTCGTGGCTGATGTGTTTCTCTATTCCATTCTCCTGGCTTCTGCCAGTAACCCTTCAACCGCTTACTCATAAAGAACCTATTTAACTCTGTCTTAAATACATACAATGACTTAGCATTCACAGTCTTCTGCAGCAATGAGTTCCGCAGATTAACCGCCCTCAGGTTGGAGAAATTGCTCTTTATCTCAATTCAAATGGGTTGTCTCTTCAATCTGAGGCTGTGCCCTTGTGTCCTAGTCTCTCCTAATAGTGGAAACATCTTCTCTATATCTACTGTACTCAGGCCTTTCAGTATTCTGTAAGTTTCAATGGGATCCCCTAACATCCTTCTAAATTTTGAGGATAGATCCAGAGCCCTTAACCCTGCATATGAAAAGTTCTTCATCCCTGGGATCATTCTTGTAAACCACCACCTTAGATATGGGGCCCAAAACTGCTCACAATATTCCAAATGTAGTTTCAATCTGACTAGAACCTTATACAGCCTTAGCAGGACATCCCTGCTCTTATATTCTAGCCCTCTTTGAAATGAATGCTAACATTGCATTTGACTTTCTAATTGCCCACTGAATCTGTATGCTAACCTTAAGAGAATACTGAACCAAGACTCCTATGCCCGTTCAGATTTCCAAAGCCTTTCCCCATTTAGAAAATAATCTCTGCCTTTATTCTTTTTACTAAAGTGCACAACTTCACACTTTCCCACGTCGTATTCCATTTGCTACTTTTTTGCCCACTCATTTTTTATTCTTTGTTCATTCATGGAATGAGGGTGTCACTGGCTAGGCAGCATTTATTGCCCATTCCTAATTGCCCAGAGGGCAGTTAAGAGTCAGCCACAATGCTGTGGGTCTGGAGTCATATGTAGGCCAGACCAGGTAAGGATGGCAGTTTCCTTCCCTAAAGGACGTTAGTGAACCAGATGGGTGGTTTTTCCGACAATCGGCAATGGATTTATGGTCATCATTAGATTCTTAATTCAAGATATTTATTGAATTCAAATTCCACCATCTGCCATGGTGCGATTTGAACCCGGGTCCCCAGTACATTATCTGGGTTTATGAATTAACATTTTAACGATAATACCACTAGGCCATCGCCTCCCCCATAGCCTGTGCAAGTCCTTCTGCAGCCTCCTGACTTCCTCAATATTACTTGTCCCTCCACCTGAGTTTATGTCCCCAGTTCCTTCGCTGGGTCGTTTATGTACACCGTGGATGGCTGTGATCCAAACACGGACCCCTGCTGAACTCCACTAATCAGTGGCTGTCATCCTGAAAAAGATCCCTTTATCCCCATTCTCTGCCATCTGTCAGTCAGCCAATTCTCTAACAAAGTCAGTACCTTGACCCTTACACAATGGGCTCTTATCTTATTTAGCAGCCTGCTGTGTGGCCCCACCTTGACAAAGGCCTTCTGGAAATCCAAATAGATCAGATCCACTGGCCTCCTTTGTCTAACTTTCTCATTACCTCCTCAAAGAATTCTAACAAATTTGTCAGACATGCCTTCTCCTTGACAAAGCTGTGCTGACTCAGCCCTATTTTATCATTCATTTCCAAGTACTTCATACTTCCATCTTATAATAATGGACTCTAATATCTTCCCAATGACCAAGGTCTGGCTAACCAACCTATAGTTTCCTATCTTCCCCACCTCCCTTCTTGAACAGGGGTGTTACATTAGCTTTTTTCAAGTCCTCTGGGACCCTCCTTGACTCCAGCGATTCCTGCAAGATCACCACCAATGCCTCTACAATTGCCTCAACTATCTCCTTCAGAATCCTGGGATGTTGTCCGTCTGGTCTGGGTAATTTATCCACATCAGATCTTTAAGTTTCCCCAGCACCTTCTCCTTATTAGTGGCCACTACACTCACCTCTGACCCCCTCTCTCTTGAAATTCTGATATGCTACTTGTGTCTTCCACCATGAAAACTGATTCAGTTCCTCCACCATTCCTTTGTTCCCCATTAGTATTTGCTAACTTCATTTTCCAGCAGTCCAATGTCCATTCTAGCCTCCGTCTTACCTTTTATAAATTCAAATATATATATAAAATGGGTCACTGCACTTTTATTGTCCCTTTGATCAAGTTTCTGGATGAGGTATCAAAGATGGTTGATGATGGTAATACTGTTGATTTTGTGTACGTGGACTTCCAAAACACATTTGATTAGGCATCACACAACAGACTTGGGAGCAAAGTTAGACCTCATTAGTAATAAGAAGAGTGGTAATGTGGATATGAAATTGGTTGAATGACAGGAACAGAATAGCGAAGAACAGCTGTTTTTGGGACTGGAGGAAGGTATACAGTGGGGTTCCCCAAGGGTTGTTACTTGGACCACTGCTTTTCTTGATCTATATTCATGACTCAGCCTTGAATGTATAGGACACAATTTCAAAATTTGTAGATGATACAGAACTTGAAAGTATTGTGAACTGAGGAGTAGAGTGTAGAACTTCAAAAGAAGATAGACAGTCTCTTGGAATGGGCAGACAGTGACAGAGACAGAGTTTAGTATACAGAAGAGTGAATTGATTTATGTTAGTAGAAAGAACACAGAGACATTGAAGGTGACAAGGTAGTTTGAGAAAGTGGTTCATAAATTATATGAAACCCTACATTTTGTAAGCAGAGGTGCTGAGTACAGAAACAAGCAAGTTATGATGAACCATTACAAAATAGAGGCTCCATGTCCACTGGAGTATTGTATCCCCAAGCTTTGGTCACCAGACATTAGGAAGCTGTGAAAGCTTTAAAGAGGATGTAGAAAAGATTATCAGGGGAAATTCCAAGGCTGAGGACTTCGGTTGTGCACTAGACTAGAGAAGCTGAAGTTATTTTCCTTGGAGAAGAGAAGATTGAGAGCAGATTTGATAGAAGCATGCAGAATCACGAAGGATCTGGCCAGGTTAGACAGGGAGAAACTGTTCCCACTGCTGGGAGGGCCAAGAATTCAGAGCTGTAAAAGATCATTGGATAAAGGGCCAATGGCAATATGAGAAAAAGCTTTTTAGTGCATTGAGTGGTTGCGATCTGGAATGCACTACTGAAAATGCAAACTTGAAATTACTCCCAGAGGGAATTGGATTAATAAAAACCAAAAGAACTGCGGATGCTGTAAATCAGGAACAAAAATAAAGTTGCTGGAGAAGCTCAGCAGGTCTGGCAGCATCTGTGAAGGAAAAAACAGAGTTAACATTTCAAGTCTGGTGACCCTTCCTCAGGATTAATCCCCGATGAGAAAAAATACATGGCCACGAAGAAAGAGCTGGTGAGTTGGAGTAGCTGATTTATTCTTGCAGAGAGTCAACAAGGACATGACAGGCTAAATGGCCTTCTTCTGTGCTCTAACCATTCGTTAATCCAATCGATGATTCTGAGACCAGAGACAAGATGCTCACCAGCATGTTAGATTCCTTTCCTGGCCTTATTGCCTCTCAGGCAGAACGTAAAGCAAGGTCACAGCAAGTAACTTCCAGGAATGGCTGCTATCGGTTGTGTTTGAGTCCTGCCTCAAATCCCAGTCTTGCTGTTGTTTTAGACTTGGGCAGAATTGGAGGAGAAGGCCCGAGGAATCTTGGTCTTTAATTACCACATCAAACAATGAATGTTTTCAAAAATATTGTTTAAATGTTTGTGACTATGTTTACCCTCTGCTGTCTAGGTATTTTGTTTACAATTGTTTTCAGCAATGACTAATCTGGGCTCTGAATTGTTGACAGGGTTCCTATGGTGTTGTGAAGCTGGCCTACAATGAAAATGATGACAAGCATTATGTGAGTAAATGTTTCTTGTCCTGAGGTTTGTTCTTTAGTGTTTCTCTCGACAATTGATAATTCAGAGCTTTTCACGAGTAATGTTGACATTTTGACAGGCATGGGGTTGATAGTCACTGAATCTGCCTGATATTAATAGGCCAGCCACAGCCTGGCTGTCCTGTTAACACCCAGTGCTGTTACTCTGGCTGTTTAGAAAGGGTCATTCCATTAAGTATTCAAATTGTCTCACTCTTTCAGGCCATACACTCCTTATAGAAAGGCAGTTTCTGCTGACACCCATAACTGTGGGCAACTGCACATGTTCAGAAAGACACATGGAAAATCCAGACTCACTGTTATCATGTAAAATTTCAATGACATGATGCGCATTGGCTGCACTGCACAGAGGAGAAATGCAGTTTTGAAATGGGGATCAGCATAGGACTTGGGAGACAATGAGTGCCAATGACTGATGCAGGGGAGGGAGAGAAAGGCAGGCCCCCACTTTCTATCCCCCCTACCCCATGCCCATTCATTCCTCTGCCCCCCTCCCCATACTCAACGCCACATCTTTTAATCCTGTCTCCCACATACCTCCCTCCAGTCCTGTTCCTTTCCTCCTGGCTTCCTCCCCGTCCATTTACCCCTATCCCATTCACACCACTGCTGTGTTCTCACTGTCCTCCAACCATTGTGAGTATCAAATATGATTGTTGCCCCAAGGTGGGAAGATAAATAAAGAAAAACTATTACTACTGGTGGGCTAAGCAATCGTTATAGGGAGCTGATGTAAGACCATCAGCCAAAGAATGAAGGAAAAGCTCAGATAATTTTGTTTTACATACAGAGTCATTAGGGTGTGTTTTTGAAATGTCACTCAAAGTCTAGGACCAGGTGTTAAAAAGTAGCCCTGCTCTCTGGGACCTATTGCTTTTACTTCCAAAAATCGTGGGGCTTTCCTGAAGCATTGGCCTATGTGTTTAAGCAGAAAATGCTGGAAATACTGAGTGTCAGTGGAAAGAAAAAATAGTTTAAATGCGTCAGGTCTATGATGTTGTTTCAGGTTTAAAGCATCTACAGTACTTTTGATTTTGTATTGGAGCTTAATAGCGTATAGATTTTATTTAGGGAAGGGAGGAGGTGCCATGAATCTTTATAGAGATCCCACCTTGAATATTGTACAGCTGAAAGAGAATATGGACCTAGCATTTGTCTGCCAAAACCTGAGTCAGTCACTCCTGCTAATATTGGATCACGAATCTTCTCAATGCTGTCAAAACTGATGACCAAATGCTCACACACAGTTTAATGTAAATTCACACACTGATACATCCATACTCGCATAGAAACATGCGCATTCACATACAAATACATACATGCTCAAGAGCATCCACACAGACATAGACACTTAAGCAGGCGCAAATTAATGCACATAATCTTGAGCATATACTTGATGTGAACACGGACGTACACTTAAGTACACGCATACTGATACACAGTCACGCACACACAACACAGTTACGCACATGTGTGTTCACTCTCTCTTTCTCTCACACACACACACACACACACACACACACACACACACACAAAGACATAATCATCTGCCTGGCACTCATAGAAACAGATATAGAGCAGTCAGAACTGTGGCTTTTGTAATTCAGCTACTGCGCATTATCTCTATGCCTTAGTGTAGAAATAAAGAGGCACCAAGCAAAAGACTCATTTCTAAAGACCCTCAAGAGTCCTATCCCACCAACTCTATAGCACACCCTGACAGGGAGAGTGAGATAATAACTGAGAAATGCACTATTCCACCCCACCTCCTGTCTGTTTGATGCACAGGAACAGTGACTGAACCTGCTGAAGATGTAGTATGACAAAGTTTAAGCATTGATGTTTTAAGGACGCTTTTAAATCCCAAAGTGTGTGAGTGAGCGTGCAATGTGTATTCTTTGGATACTAGTCAGTAAATACAGTGTCACAAAAATGTGCAGCAGCTGCACCAAGATATAAATTAAGATTGTATCCTACAATTCAAAACAAAGAAATATGTTTGTGCGCTAGCACTCAATCCTTTCCTGCCTCATTTTGGGAAGAAGATTTTATTAAAGTGTTTGAAGGCAGAACATCTCATTAAGTGGGGCTGGATTAAGTGCTGGGGCAGTGGCTCCATCACTGAAAGCAGGAAGCAAATAGTGGGTGGCAGCACTTGTGGCAGGATCTTACCAGCAACGAGCTATTGAAGATGGCTAGCCACCCCCAGAAGCTGCCAGCTTAGGTTGGCAGCATAGTGACCTTGGCAGTGCTAACAGGCGTGACACACATTGCTGAGACTGTCCCGGAAGTAAGACGCTGCATTGATGGATGTGAACACTCAGGCTAGGTCTGGTGATGAAATACTGTTGGTCAGGACAGGCAATGCCATCCCTGCAGGACTAGTCATTGCTGCTAGGTGTGTAAATGCCACCGGAGGCAGTAAGAAACCCTTAATTGACCACTTAAGTGGCTTGGTTGGGGTTGGTGGGGTTCGTTCATGACCTTCACTGCTATTACCATTGATGGCATTGTGGCAGGAAGGCACAAACACATCATTGGCATCATTTTATTCACTGCTCCACCTCCCAGTCCATTGCCAGAAGACTGGTAAAGTCCAATTCATGCTGACTGAGGGAAGTGTGAACCGGAACCTTCTCCATCTTGGCAAGTAACATCTATTGTCCATGTGAGAGCAGAGACCGCATTAATCCTGATGCCACTGATGCATACTATTGACAGAAGCTGGCACTGTCTGACAGACTGTTCCCAAACTGAGAAGGACTGGAGCTAAATCTGGCAGTGACTGTAATTACACAGTACAGCTCTCTGTCTGTCAGTTTCAGAGATTTTTAAAAAGACAATGGTTTCTTTACAAGCAGATAATCAAACAAAAAGGATAAAATGAATTTATCTCTTTAACGGGCTGTGGGCATAGCTGGCTGGGCCAGTATTTATTGCTCATTCCTAATTACCCTAGAGGAGGTGGTAGTGAGTTGACACATTGTGATGTACCTACACTCACAGTGCTGATAGGAAGAGAATTCCAGGATTTTGACCCAGCAACAGTGAAGGAACAGTGATATAATTTTAAATCAAGAAGGTGTGAGACTTGGAAGGGAACTTGCGGCTGATGGTATTCCCATGCATCAGCTGCCATTGTCCCTTTGGGTAGAGGGGTCATGGATATGGACGCTGCTATTGAAAGAGCCTGAGTGAGTTGCTGTAGGTCACTCTGTCAGCAGTGGAGGACGTGAATGTTGAAAATTGTAAATGAGGTGCCAATCAAACAGGCTGCTTCCTCCTAGATGGAGTTGAATTTCTTTAGTATTGTTGGAGCTGTATTCATCCAAGCAAGTGCGGAATTTCCCATTATACTCACTTTTCCTAGTGGATGGTGAACAGGCTTTGGCGAATCATCAAGTGAATCATTCACCCCTGAATACACAGTCTCTGACATGCTCTTGTAGCCACAGTGTTAAATTTCTTGTCAGTGGTAATTCCCAGGATGTTGTTATTAGGGGATTCAGCTGTGATAAAGTCATTAACTGTGATTGGGAAAATGGTAGATATTCTGTTGTTGGAGTTGTCATTGCTTGGCACTTGTGTTGAACAGGTATTACTTGCCACTTATTAGCCCAAACTGTGGGGTGAAGCATATTCTTCCAAATGTTTGTTATCTAATAATTGATATTTGTTCCATCTCCACCTTTGATTAATGCAGCTCATGATACCTTTCTCATCCTTCAGTTTTATTGGAAATGTTAGATTCCTTCCCCCTCAGTCATCCTGCGTGCACCAATCCTCAGGAATGATGTATTGGTATTAGAAAGGGTGCAGAGCAGATTCACCAGAATGAAAGCGAGAGGCAGAGGATTAAATTCTGACAACAGATTGCATCAATTTAGCATATCAATTCATTAAGGTAGAGACAGGCAAGCTGGTTGGGGGCAAAGATCGCAACAGGACAGTTGTGGAGTCGCACAGTTTATGAAAGGAATGCCTGCGGTATTCTTGCTGTTTTGTTCATGTACTTTTATTACCTCCAGTTCAAATGGCCTCATGTCTGGCCTTTCATTCTCCACATTCTATAAACTTCGACTCATTCAAAGGTCCACTGTCTGTTCACTGTCCCATATTGTCCTACTCACGATCTTCCCCATCCCTATATCTGTAAACTTTGGTCAGCATTTTCTCCATTGGTTCAAAGTCCAATTTTTCTGATTAATCCTCTTGTGCTGTTTTTATATGTTAAAGATGCTGTATAAACTCCAGCTGTTTTTGTTTTATGTCTAAAGAGAGGGTGAATGGGTGATGTCTTTCTGACTGCTCCTGTAATACCATGACAGATTTGTTTTAATTGTAATGTAATCCCTCATCAGACTGCGGGTGACTAACCAGACATGGTGTCAGAAGGATGAATAGGATTTGCATAAATAACAAAACCTGTCCTGCCTGGCCAATCCTAAATTAAACATTGTGGTTCATTTACATAGGAATGGCTTCATTAGAGTGCCAAAATGGTTTTTACGGTGAGAATTTACATCAATTGTACAATTCCCCACCACTGCCATCCTCTCCAAGGCAATTAGGGAAAGCAGTAAGACCATAACCATAAGATATAGGAGCAGAATTAGGGCATTTAATCCATGTCTGCTCCACCATTCAATCATTGCTGATATGTTTCTCAAGCCCGTTCTCCTGCATTTTCCCTGTAATCCTTGACTCCTTACTAATCAAGAACCTATCTATCTCTGTCTTAAGTACATTCAATGATTTGGTGTCCACAGCCTTCTGCAACATTGAGTTTCATAGATTCACCACCTTCTGACTGAAGAAATTCCTCCTCATCTGATTTGTAAAGGTGCATCCCTTCACAGAAGCTGTGTCCTTGGGTCCTAGATTCCACTACTAGTGGAAACATCTACATATCCACTATATCCAGGCATCTCAGTACACATCTACTCTATCCAGGGCTCTCAGTATTCAGTAAATGCTGGCCAAGCATCTCATGAAGGAACAATAAAGAAAAATATTACTCCGATTTTACAAATTCCAGCAGGTATCATCAAATGACATCTCACCTTGAATTTCTCCCAAATCAGCCATAGAGACATAGAGTCATTCAGCTCGGAAATAGACCCTTTGGCCCAATTTGTCCACGTTGACCAAATTTCCTAAACTGAACTAGTCCTATTTGCCTTCATTTGGCCCCAATCCCTATACATGCACCTGTCCAAATCTCTTTTCAGAGGGAAAGAAGAACTTAATCAGGAAATGGCTTAATGAAAACTGAAATGCTTGAATTTTTCATCAGTCTAGGTTAGCATATCATTATGAGTCTGCATCAGTATCTAGGCCTTGTGCTTTTGATTTCAAGTCACGGACCTCAACATTTTAATGGCTGTACAAGACAACTTGCATTTTTATAAAGTATTTTAGTCTGTTCCCTTGAGTGTGGTGGACGAAGGGTCACTGAATATTTTTAAGGCAGATTCTTGGCTAATGAGTGAGTCGGAGGTTGTTGAGGGGTGGGTGGGAAATTGGAGCTGAGGCTGTAATTGGATCAAACACAGTCTTATTGAACGGTGGAGCAATCTTGAGGGGTCAGATGATCCTGTTCCTACTTATTATGTTTGTTTGTAACCTGCAATTTCCCCTCCATTCACACAGCATTCTGACTTGAAGCCCTGTTGCCGTTGCTTCACTGTTTGATCACTGTTCTGGAACTTCCTCCTGAACAGCATAGTGAGTGTCCCTATGTCCCAAACACTGCAAGGGTTCAAGAAGGCAGCTCATCATCACACTGTCCAGGACAATTCAGGATAAGCAATAAATTGAGGCCTAGCCAGCAATGCCCATTCCTCATAAACACATTAAAAAATAATCTAGCAAAATGTCCAGGCACATTTCCCAGCTGCATTATCAAATAAAAATTGGTTACAACAAGAAACATGAAGTCAAGTGACCAGTTGCTTAGTCAAAGAGATTTTTTTTTTTGAGCAGTCTCTGAAAGCAGAGCAGAGAGATGATGAAGCTGGTGAGGTTTGGATGGGCTGATGCTAATGAAAGACGGGAGCTGACCAGAGCCTTCAGATGGTGGAGTCTGAAAAGTTTCAAAGTTTGATTTCCTTTACACCAAGACCAACTTTTTCTCATGAAGGGGAGAGAAGCTGTCAGATTTCCTCCCCTGCACTCCATCACCAAAGGCCCAAATGATTCTAGTGTTGCTCCTTAACCCCACAATCTCAAATGTGGTTATTGCCAACAGTATTCGAGCCACCTCCAACCCCACCCCTAACATCTGTATATATGTTTCACTATTTAAGTTATATCCATGCAGTTCTATACCAATGTTGTTTATGTGCACTCAATTGATGCATTGCATTAGTCTGATTGGTAGTCGTAAACTTTGTTCCAATATTCATTGAGTGAGTACAGTTAGAAATGAGAGTCATGGTTTATGTTGTTGACAGGAATGCTCTCTCTCCTGCAGGCCATGAAGGTACTTTCTAAAAAGAAGCTGATGAAACAGTATGGATTTCCACGTAAGTGTGCCCTGGAAATCTTCCCAGATACCAGTCACCTTGGGTACCTCAATTAGCTTCAAATCAGGCCTAATTCTAAGCATTTGGTTTTTAGATTACAGCACTTAGCACATAAATAGGCCAGAGTCACATAATAAGATCAAGGGGCCTTTTATGTTGCTTATTCCAAGCAGATGATAGGTTTCTGCTTGAACAAATTGCTGAATTTTGGAGCTGCTGGCGAGTTGATGTCCTAACCACTTCAGGAATGTGAAATCCTGTCTTTGTCAGTCTAATAATAGTATGCCAAAAATGGAAATGCACATACCAGTTAGGAACCAATCACACCTCTAATAGTCAGTTAGTAACAGTCGAAGTTAGTAACTGGTCAAACTGCAAGAAACCAGTCAGTTAATAACAATCACATCATGAGTAACCCATCAATGTGCAAGTAACCAGTCTACTGTCAATATAACCAGTCAGTAACAGTCACATTGGGGGTAACTTAAATGCACAAATAACCATCAGTAACCAGTCACTTAGTAATAGTCACAGGGTGAATAACAAGTCAGACCGTAAGTAATCAGTCTCACTGTCTGTAATCGGTCAGTAGAACAATCCCTGGAATGAGAATAATGTTGTTTGGATTTTATTCAGTATATTTATATGCTTAGAAGTCATGCTGATGATTAAGAGACAACACCGTCTGGAGCTGGAGGAACACAGCAGGCCAGGCAGCATCAGAAGAGCAGGAAAGTTGACATTTCAGGTCAGGACACTTCTTCAGAAGAAGGGTCCCGACCCGAAACATCAACTTTCCTGCTCCTCTGATGCTGCCTGGCCTGCTGTACTCCTCCAGCTCCAGACTATGTTATCTCTGACTCCAGCATCTGCAGTTCTTACTATCTCATGCTGATGATTAAACTGTCTGTCCATCAACAAGTTTGACTGGGGATGTTCCTCTATAATTGAAGAGTGTTCACAACTCTCCAGATACTGAAGCAGTTTGTGCTTGGATGCAGTGAGATCTAGACAGCTTGATGTTAAAAAGGGGAAATTTGCACTACATAAGTGCTACCTCCTTTAGGAGAGGCAAAGAATCTCTCGTTAACATTTAACAGCATCAACATCCTGACAGTTACCATTGAGCAGAAACTGAACGGGACCAGCTTTAACAATGGCTACAAGAACAGGTCAGAGGCTGGGAATCCTGCAGCAAGTAATTCGCTTTCTAATTCCTCATCATCTACAAGGCACAAGTCAGGAGTGCGATGGAATAACTCTCCAATTGCCTGGATAAGTGCAGCTCCCACAACACTCAGAAGCTTAACACCAGCTAGGACAAAGCAGCTTATTTGATTGGCACCCCATCTGCCAACTTCAATATTCATTCCTCCTGCCACTGACACACAGTAGCCGGTGTACCATCTTAAGGATGCAATGCAGACTTTCACCAAAGCTGACCTGAAAGAATCTCCAAACCCACGACCCTTATCATTTAGAAGAACAGAGGAAGTAGATAAATGGGAGCACCACCACCTGCAAGTTCCCCTCCAAGCCACTCACCATCCTGACTTGGAAATATATCACCATTCCTTCAATGTCACTGGATCAAAATTCTGGAACTCCTTTCCTAACAGCACTGTGGGTATATCTATACTCAAAGGACTACGTTGGCTCAAGAAGGCATCTTAACACTATCTTCTCCAGGGCAGTTAGGGATTGGAAATAAATCCTGACCTTACTAGCAATGCCCAGATCCTGTGAATGAATTTTAAAAATCTTAGATAAAGGGCAAGCTGAATCAACCCTTCCTTATGAGAAAAACTCTCAATTTATCAACAGGAGTGCCGGCTTCTCCCAAAATCCAAGATGATATATAAGCAGACTCACATTCATGATATATCCTCAGCTAGTGTTTCAGTGGGAGGGAATCCTGCACTGATGGAGCTATAACACTAAGCTGACATCCTGTTTACCATCTTGTATAGATGGAAAAGATCCCATGGCAGCATTTAAAGAAGAGCAGATTGCTGTCTCTAATGTTCAGTCTAACAGCTACCCAACAACACAACGCGCAGTTTATCTATCTCTTTCTCTTATTATTGTTTGTGGGTACAAGGCTTTGTGAAATGTCCATACAGTGCTGGATAAAGACAAACTCTCTCTCTCTGTCTCTCCCTCTGTCTTTCTCTCTCTCTCTCTCTCTCTCTCTCTCTGTGTCACTCAGTCTCCAGAGCTCCATAAAAAGTCTCCTCCTCATAGGGTCTGATTTCAAGTCTCATTCACTGAGTGCAAAAATCAAAGCTGACACTCCAGTGCAGCACTGATGAAGTGCAACACTGTCAGAGGTGCCAGCTTTGCCATCTGGTGGTGCTGTGAAGTGGTCTATAATATAAATCTTTTTAGATGACTTAAAGAAGGAATCATTCAGAAGGGCCCTGAACAATTGTCAACCCATCTTACCTTATGCATTCGGTTTTCTGTCACATCCACTTTAAAAATCAGTAATGGTGAAAATGTTAAAATGAAAGCTAACAAACTATTACTGCTATCTTGGCATTGTGCTGCATGTTTTGTTTTGATGCCCTTGCTCAATCTACAGCTCAACATGCATTGTTCAAAGTTTAATCTTCACACAGCTGTCAGCCTTGAAACCAGAATGATAAACATTGTGATCAGATTGCAATCCCTAATATTAATGCGCAGAGCACAGAGCTGGAAATTGAAACCAGCTTCTGATGCAAGTGTTCCATTAATCAGCAGTAACATCTCTCACCAAAGGAATCACATAAAATGCACATTAAAAATTCTTAATCATGTTGCCAACTCCAAGCAAATACTCTTTAGATTCAGAAAAAAATGTACTTTTCACCATCTGACACGTAAGATTGATGTTAAGAGATTAAAGTGAATTGAATTTAGGAAATTGCAGCTACAGCTCTCTTACACGTTCCATGTAAAGTGGATCTCAGTCAGACAGAAAAGTATGAAACACAATACAAATCCTTGTTGGTGAATTTATTCACAGGATGCAGCCTTACTAAACTTTAATTAACCGAATTTAATTAATTAAACAAAATAAACCAGGTGACTAACCTTGAAAGGGGCATTGTAACAAAAATCAAAGTGTCAAAGGAAACATCACATTAAGTTAAAATTTGTTTGGAGACTTCAATTCCTGTGGTACCCACCAGTCACAGAAAGCCTGAAGTGTATAGGTGGACACCATGGGCTCCCTTTCCAAGGTCAGTCTTACGTGATTTTAACCATAGAAGAGTGGCTAGCAGTCTGAACTAATGGCCCACTCCCTGAACCTGTTAGTGATTTCCTTGGCCAGCCCAAGAATAGACTCAAAAGGAAGCCTTCCTGCATCCCCTCAACCCTGCACCCAGTAGTAAAAATCGGGAGTGTAGGCTGAAGTGCAACTGAAACCTGAGATAAATAGGGATTGCAGCCTCACACAGCTTTATACATGTGAAACACAGAGTCTGCAAGGCTGTAGAAAAAGACAAACAGCCTGGGAATTTGTTAGCTATCTTAATCTTTTGTTGCACTGGATCACTTCCTGCATTCCCTCTAATTTCTTGTTCTTCTGCATGGACTCTGAGGTCTGTTCACTGTAGTGACCTCTGAAGTCAATGCTTCGGCGTGCAGATCAGTGTGAGCAGACTTTTGGAATGCGGCCACACTGCTTGGCGGGACATGATGGTTGCTATGTACCCACCCTCCCTGCCATTTTACCCAGATAGGAGCCTCCATCCAGATGCCCCCATCACTTCTGGATGACAGGCAACTGATTGTCTTCAGCTGACAAAAGGATGACAGAAGAGAAAGTGACATTCCAGAGCTAATCTTCGACAACAATGCAGAGCTGTGGTAGTGAAACCATTCAGAAAAGGGAATTGTGCAGACTATAAGATGGTCTGTTAATATACAGGTATAAATCTTGACCAGAACTTCATTCCAGTGTTGGGTCTAAACACACAGCATTAATACATGTGATGAAAATGGCCCAATTGACCCTCCAACTGGGTACAAAAAACCAAAATGATTGGTTTTAACAATAATGTAAAGTAGCGCAGGCTTCAGTGAAATCTCCCCAGAATACACACTGATGGATCTTGGAAATATCGGAGACAATTTCATAGCCCTGTACTACCCCCACAGTGAGTTTGTCACTATAAATATCTACATATAAGCCATTACAAGGAGGCAGGGTGGGAAAGGATTATTATAACAGTGGCTTGCGTTTTTGCACACAGTGCCAAACTTACCCTGCAACACTGTTAACCTTTCAATGAACATAATGAAAGGCCTCTTTCCCACTGTACAATTCCATTAAGTCTGACTTTGCTGACCCTTAACCTTGGAATATGTGAGTATGAAGGTGGAGAACAGTTTCCATTCTGTTTTTATTGCCCCAGGATTTGCGGGGCTGCTGGAATCATATACAAGGATTGATGCAGATCTGTATTTGCAAAAGGGACAGGCCCATCCCAAATCTGTAACCAAGAGGGTAAGGACATGCATATGCCTCCCTTTGATGTCCTGTTGGCAGCAGCATGGAGTTTGCAGACACTGATGAGTTTAGCAGTAAACCTGCCTTGATTTATTAGTGAGAGTCCTGGACCATTTTACTCCCAGGCCTCATTACCATTCATCAGGACTAATCCTGTCTGAATCCAATAAGAATGGCATGGAGTTTGTGAGTGGAGGAAGTGCAGAAGGAGACCTTAGCTTGGGTAGGGGCTAGGCTGATGGGCAGAGCAATGTGGGGAAGAAAGACCTAAGGTTTTCTTGTGGGACTTGAAGGTCACTCCTCTATCAGGAAACCTTTAGAAGTTTCTGCGCCCTCTCAGGATTTCCTGTTCCTCATCTCCCAGCACTATAGGCCAGATCAGATGCTGAGTGTAAAATAGGAGAAAGTGCTGACAGATTCAGAAATAGATCCCTGGACCCTAATTTATGCTCATCAATGATATCACCTACCTGGAGTTAATATGCCCAGAGGAACCAAGGAATTTAAGGAAAAAAAATCAACATGAATGTGATACATAATGAAGGGTGAGACGCTGTCTGCATTTTAACCTCCACATAACACATTTTGTTCAGGTGTTATGGGGTTGGGTTCTGTGTGGTGGTGGGGGGGGGCGCAGTTGTTGTGTTAGTTGAAAGGAATAAAACCAGCCCAGCACCAAAGCTACACTCCATTGTGTCAGGCCCAGCTTGAGGAGATAACCACATTAATAATCAGGGAGTTCCAATCATCCACAGCTCAGTGTATGGGTTTTAAATACAATGCTCCTGACAAGGTCTGGAATGGGAGTGATAAGTCATAGAGTCATAGAGATGTACAGCATGGAAAAAGACCCTTCAGTCCAACTTGTCCATGTCGACCAGATATCCTAAATTAATTGTAGTCCCATTTGCCAGCATTTGGTCCATATCCGTCCAAACCCTTCCTATTCATGTACCCGTCCAGGTGCCTTTTAAATGTTGTAATTGCACCAGCCTTCACTGCTTCCTCTGGCAGCTCGTTCCATACACGCACCACCCTCTGCACAAAAATGTTGCCCCCAGGTCCCTTTTAAATCTTTCCCCTCTCACCTTAAACCTATGCCCTCTAGTTTTGGACTCCCTGACCCTGGGGAAAAGACCTTGGCTGTTCACCCTACCCATGCCCCTCATGATTTTGTAGACTAATAGGTGAAAGGGCAGTGACATCAGCCAGTACACAACTTTCTGGCCGGTAAGCTACAATGCTTATTCACATCAGGATCTGAAAGCATTGTGGAGCGCTCAAGTGACACAACGGTAGTGTCCCTATCTTTGAACCAGGAGGCCTGGGCTCAAGTCCTACATTCTCCTGAGGTTTGTAATAACATCTCTCAACAGGTTGATTAGAAAAATCTCCAGCTTCATACTGCTTGTGATAAGATCTTTAAACACATTACAGTCCTTAGACTGCAAATGAACAGAAAATGGTACGGTCAACAGTCAGTATAGAGTCATAGAGCATGGAAATAGACCATTTGGTCCAACTAGCCCATGCCCATCATGTTCCCAAATCAAACTAGTCCCACTTTCCTGCATTTGGCCTATATTCCTCCAAACCTATCCTATTCATGTACATATCCAAATGTCTTTTATATGTTTCAACTATACCTGCATCCAACATTTCTTCTGGCAGTTCATTCCACTATGAACCACTCTCTGTATGAAAACGTTGTCTCTCATCCTTTTTAAATCTTTGTGCTGTCACCTTAAAAATATGCCCCCGAGTTTTGAACTCCCCCACCCTATGGAAAAGATCCTCGCTATTCACCTTATCTATGCCCCTCATAATTTTATAAACCTCTATAAGGGTACCCCTCAACCTCCTATACTGCAGCGAAAATAATCCCAGCTTATCCAGCCAGTTCTTATAATTCAAACCTTGCATTCCCTGCAACATCCTGGTGAATCTCTTCTGAACCCTCTCCAATTTAATAATATCCTTCCTGTAGCAGGGCGACCAGAACCATACACAGTACTCAAGAAGAGGCCTTGCCAACATCCTGTACAGCCTCAACAATGACTTCCCAACTCCTTTACTCAAAGGTCTGAACCAATGAAGGCAAGCTTGCTAAACACCTTCTTAACGACCCTGTCTACATGTAATGTAAATTTCAAAGAATTATGTACCCAACCCCTTAGGCCTCTCTGTTCTACAACGCTACCCAGGGCCCTACCATTAATTGTATAAGTGCTGCCCTTGTTTGTTTTACCAAAATGCAACACCTCGCATTTATCAAATTAAACTTTATCTGCCACTCCTCAGTCCATTAGTTCAACAGATCAAGATCCCTTTATAATCTTAGATAACCTCCTTCACTAAGATTTTTTAGAGTAGATTTGTAGTTCGGGTTGTGGATGTTGTAGTTGGTTGGCTCGTCGAGCTGGTTCATTATTCCGCAGACGTTTCATTACCCTGCTGGGTAACATCATCAGTGCAGCCTCCGATGAAGCGCTGTTGTGTTTTCCCGCCTGTTGTTTAAACTCTGGTGTCCGTTGAGCTGGATTACCTCACTTCCGGTTTCCTTTCACAATGGATTGCGAATGAACCAGCTCAGCGAGCCAATCAACCACAACAACCCCCTTCACTGTCAACTATACCACCAATTTTGGTGTCATCTGCAAACTTACTAACCATGTCTCCTAAATTCTCATCCGATTCATTTATATAAATGTACTTAACAAAAGAAAATTATGCACACATTGTCAGGACTTTATCACTTTACTGCCCGTGTCTGTAATTCTCACCAATAGTACTTAGTTCAGTCGCATTCTTGCTTGAGCATGGGTTCTAGCCCCACTCAACGAGACCTAAAGACATATTCTCATGCTGAAATAGAATTGTCACTATCTTTTGGCTAAGGAGTCAAATCAAGATGTCATGTGCCTTTTAAGATGGATTACTCTAATCTGAACAGACGAGTTCCTCAGGCATCCTGATCACCATTTACCCTTTGACAAGCACCACTGATAACAGTAACGTGAGTGTACAATTCTACAAATGTTGGAAATGGTCTGAATAGGAGTTATGTGCCAGGGTCACGCCAATTAATAGAGTTAAATAGGTTAATTGCTGAAACTTAGCCTTTCAGGCTTGATGACCTTTGCATCCCTGCCAAGTCAGACTGTGCTCAGAGCTTGGCTTTGCAAAATATACCCTGTTATTCCATATATTCATAGCTTTCAAATTGGTCTCATTGCATTGCACAAGCGTTAACCAATCCTGGACTAAATTAAAGGAACCCTGGATTGAAGGATGATCATTGAGACTTTTGCTTTCATTTTGAGATGATGCCTTACCACTTTACTTGGGTTCCAGGTCGTCCTCCTCCCCGAGGATCGAAGCCCACCTCTACCGAACAGTCAAAAGCCCCCGCGCCTCTGGAGCGGGTCTACCAGGAAATAGCCATACTGAAGAAACTGGACCACCCCAACATTGTCAAGCTGGTAGAGGTGAGTTATTCAGTCACCAGCCTGTGAAAGACAAATCATAGCTATGTTTTATTTTCAAATTGAACTCAGCAACTGGCAGAACTCAATCAGGAGTTGACCAGGTTGGTTTATGTAACAGTCTCAATAATTTGTCAAATATGTAAATTGGTATAATTTTATAAAATGACCAGCTAAGTACATTTGATAACTGCATGAACTACCTAGACATCTGGAGAGTCACAATCAGATAATTTTGATGTACTCTTTCCTCACTCCCTTATAAATAATATGACTGCCCAATTCTCTTACCTCAGACCCATGGTGAAGTGTATCTCCCCTCCCCTATCCTTTGTTCCCTTTAAATTGTTTCCAGCGGGTAATTCTCTGATTTACCCTGTTTTTTTACTAACCCAAATAATCATATTATTTAATCACTCAAGCTTATGGTCCCTGTTAGCTTTGCTGTTGGCAACTAGATAGTGAGATAAACTCATTAGGAAATAGCTCTGCTTTAGCTCAGCTCTTACAAAGAACATTGGGCTGCCTCAGCCTGATTGAGAATGTTTTGCGGCAAGCAATCATTGAGCTAATATTTGGGTAACCAGACATCCTGCTTTCACCAGCACAATCCCAGTCTTCCATTAAATGCTTCAACAATTTTCCAAAAATTGTTCACCTTTTCCTTTCTGGTCAAACATAAACTAAACTGGGGGGAGAAAATTAAGATGAAATTTCATCCCTGAATCTGTAAACACCCATGACATCACGCACAATGAACCTGTCTTCCTTTCCCCATTCCTTCTTGACATCTCCAAGGGAGTTGTATCTACCTTCTTAAAGCTAATGACTTCATTTCTGATGATACCTTTTAAATGATCTATAGAATAGAGTTACCAACTGTGGCTGCATATGTTCCAGGAGATATCATCAAATGACCTCTCTTCTTAAACAGCTCATCTATCAGATTCATGCCAATTGATCTTGGACATATCAATTATCACAGAACTCTGCCTTCCTAGGGCTTTTCAATGGGTCCCAGTTTACAGTTTTGAAAATCTGCTCACCCTAGCAAATACACATCTTTGGATTCATGAGAGAAAATGTTGAAAAATAATTAAAGCTTTTGTGCACGTTTGTAATGATAGGTATTTGGAAAGTGGATGCTAGCTTCACAGGTCACCACTAATGTAAGTTTCACTTACACACTTACACTGCAAATTCATGTTTTTAACCTCACTGAGAAGGTTTTCCAACATCATAATCACTCCTTTCTGCACAAAGATGATAGAGCCGCCCACACAGAGAACAGCCTGACTGCTTCTAGTGATTTTCTGCTTGTTTTTGCATTATGCTGTGGCCCCTGATACATTTGCTTGTGTGGGGAATCTTAGACACATTTCTTTGTAATGAATAGACCCAAATACACCCAGACCTTTGTTAAGATGATACCTTAATTCAAGGCCAGATTTGCCTTTTCAGGTGGGAGTAAAAGATCCCATGGCACCATTTCAAGAAAGGTAGTATTCTGTCAGTGCATTCCAACATTATTTATCCCTCAATTAACATCACTAAATGGAATATTACTTGCTGTTCATGGGATCTTGCTGTGTACACTTTACTGGGTTTTTGGCATTACAAAAGTGGCTGTCCTTCACAGCAACATCACTGACTGTAATTGTAATCTGTACAAACTGCAATCCTGAGGTTGTTGAAGGTGCTATATAAATCTTTGTTTATTCATGTGATTTTTTTCTGACTCTTTATATTTCAGGTTCTAGATGACCCCACTGAAGACCATCTACACATGGGTATGTGATCAAATCATGTTGATTAGACTTGACATTTCCTCACACTAAAGTAATGATGTGTTGTACCAGATAGTGGTGTACATCCTGAAAAATATTAAATATCTAAGACAATCTAATTAAATAAATAACAGAGCTGAAATTCTGTGGGTTTCATCCCCTGATACTCTTGCTCAGTATCTGCCTAATGTTGTACCTTAAGCCAATACTGCTGTTTGTATATTGAGCTATCAGTCTGGAGCACCGTGGATGTCTGCTTATACACTGTCCCTAAAGCTGTTTGCTCCTTGTTGATAAGTAAGGGTCTTTAACAGTCCTTTTTTTCTGTCTGTAGATAATAGCTTATGAAATGCAGCTCCCTTGTGTAGTGTTTAAGATCTCTATTCACATAGAGTCATAGTGTAATACAGCATGGAAACAGGCTCTTCAGGCCAAACTCGTCCGTGCTGACCATGGTGCCCACTCAGCCAGTTCCAATTGTTGGCATTTGGCCTATATCCCTCTAAACCTTTCCTATCCATGTACCTATCCAAATGTTTTTTAAATGTTGCTATTATGCCTGCCTTAACTACTTTCTCTAGCAGCCCATTCCACATAAGCACCATTCTCTGCGTGAAGAAGTTGCCCCTCAGATCCTTCTTAAATCTTTTCTCTCTCATCTTAAACCTATGCCCGCTAGTTTTCAATTCCCCATCCCTTGGGAAAAAGACTATATGTATTCATCCTATGTATGCCCCTCATGATTTTATATACCTCAATAAGGTCACCCCTCATTCTCCTACATTCCAAGGAATAAAGTCCTAAACTCGCTAACCACTCCTGATAACTCAGGCCTACTAGTCCTGGCAACATCCTTGTAAAGGGGAGGCAACTGGACTGCTAATCCAGAAACCCAGATAATGTTATGGGACCTGGGTTCAAATCCCGCCAAGGCAGACAGTGAAATTTGAATTCAATAAATATCTGGAATTGAGAATCTAATGATGACTATAAATCCATTGTTGGAATGTCCTTTAGGGAAGGAAACTGCCATCTTTACCTGTCCTACATGTGACTCCAGACCCACAGCAATGTGGTTGACTCTTAACTGCCCTCTGGGCAATTAGGGATGGGCAATAAATGCTGCCCAGCCAGCGACACCCTCATCCCATGAATGAATAAAGAAAACAACATCTTTTTTGCACACTTGCCAGTTTAACTATGTTTTTCCTATAACAGAGTGACCAAAACTGTACACAATACTCCAACTCATGCCTCACCAACGACTTATACAACTGTAACGTAACGTCCCAACTTCTATACTCAGTGCCTCAACCGATGAAGGTCAGCATGCTAAGTACATTCTTCACTAAATAAAAGCCGAAAGAACTGCGGATGCTGTGAATCAGGAACAAAAACAAAATTGCTGGAGAGGCTCAGCAGGTCTGGCAGCATCTGTGAAGGAAAAAACAGAGTTAACGTTTCGGGTCCAGTGACCCTTCCTCAGACC